TTTTTGAAAAAGTATGGTTTTGAGAAAATGATTTTTGAGAGTTCACTTCCCACCGTATAATAGGTGGCAAAAGGTGGATGGTGTTAAGAGTCGGGTGCCCATCATCCCAGCCATATTAAGTTGGCAAACGGTGGAATGTGTTGAGAAATGTATTGAGTCAGTGATAATATGTGTAAACTGTGATGAACTTATGAAATTACAATCTGATGTGTATTTTGGTACGAAAAGGAAACGCATATAGAAATTATTTGAAAAGAATGGATAAAAAATTATTAACTAGGTAAGGGGTTAGTGATAATGAACTCACCGGGTTGTATGTAACTGTATGGGAAGATTATGAGTTTTGTTTGTAAATAATTGAGAAATTGAATTGAAAGGGGTTTATTAATCCTGTGTCGTGTTGAACAATAATTTGAGAGTGCAAAAGTTTATGTGATGTAGATGTTAGACAAGTAGAAGTTGAGTGTAGGAGAATTGTATTGAATATAAAGGAGATTTGGATTTTTATGCTATGGAGATATAGCAATAATGGATAGACAAGTGGGAATGGAGTGTATGAGGGTTATTTTTTGAGTATTAAGGGAACTTGAACTTTGAGGTTATGGAGTTATAATAATTGGGAATAATAAAAAGGAAAAATGGAAATAAAACGAGGAATATTTTATAATTGGGTTAACAAATTTAAATTGATGTTGTTCTTTAAGCATATTTGTTTTCAAAGAAGATTTATGGTTTTACTGATGATGGGGGATAATTTTATGACTGAAAATTTTCCTTAAATGTTTAAATAAATTTTGAGATAAAGGTACTCTACGTGTAATATTTTGAAATTACAAACGTCATCTTACAATATGGTATCACCCTGCAGGCATGATCATTTCTATCTGTGTGTTAGTTATTATTGTAGAACTATGAGATTTCTACTAGGCAATTGTGTTCATCCCTTGTTGTTTTAATTTTTTTTTTTTTTTTAAATTAATTAATTTTTTTAAGATAATGTATGTATACTAAAAAATCTGTACAAATTTGATGGTCCCACATTTGATTTTATCAACATTCCATCTAATTTCAATTCATTAATATTCAGAAGAAGAAAAAAAAAAAAGAGCATTTCCATCAACAACTAAATTAGAAAAGTTCTTGGTGAAACAATCATTAATGCCCTCGTAATTTCAGCCATTACTACTCACATACTTTAGACATTTATGCATACGTTGGTCCATTAATAGACCTGGCCAAATTAGAAAACACAGAAAAAAAAGTCATACCAAATAAATTATTAAATTTTTTACTAAATCTCTTACATAGGTGTGGAATCAACATAAATTATGTGTGTAGGTCTCACACTCATATGAAAGATTCGGTATAAAATTTGATAATTTATTTAAAATTTATAACATTTTCTTTATTATTATTATTATTATTATTATTTATTTTCAAAAGTAAATGGAACCCATCTATTGAAGCTCAATTTAAAAAGGGTTTGGGCGTAATGGATTGGACCATGGGGGTGCACGTCGTTGACCTAGGCTTATAATTTGATTCATTTATCTATTAAGTTTTTATTTGTAATTATTTATTAAAAAATTAAATTGACTTCATAATCATAAACATATAATTTTGTCATAATTATTTTTTAAAAAAATCGATCATCTAATTTCAAAATCATATATGCTGTTTGTTTTTTGTTTTTTTAAATAAATATAATAAAAGCCATGTAACCATGATTATAGGAGCTTTTTTTTATTTATTTACAAATAATCCATATATAAAAGTCTAAAAATGAAGAAATCTTGTTCTTTTTCAATATATAATCACTTTCTTTCTTATTTAATTTTTTTATTTTTGGTAAAATCATCATGTGTCATTTTTATTATTAAGTAAACATAATAAGTTGGATTTATTAGTCAATGGACTTGTTTAGTGTAGTTTCTTTCAAGTTGATAACTGTTAATAATGTTAGAAATGGTTTTTGAAAAAATTTGGAAAAATAGAATTTTTTTAAACTTTGATCTAATTTTTAAGTGAGACCCGCATGCCAAATTTGGCGGGTCTAAGTGGTAATGCGTTCTATGCCAGGTTATGATTCATGTGGTATATTTGGTTGCTCAAAACCATTATCAGATGAATGGAAAATTGAAACCAAAGTGTGTTCCATGGAAATAGAGTTTTGGTGGAAAATCCTTAAGGTTTGAATAAAGGCTTGTCCCGTATTGGTTTGGTAGGAAGAAATTTATGGGTTTATAAAGCTTTGAATTATAACTTGGGGAGGGCCCCAAGAGGCATCCCAAGTTTGTAGAAAGGAGAGGTTATGGACAAATTGAGCTAGACCCATTGGACCAAAAAATAGCCACACGCGCGCCGCCGTCATCGTCTTGGTGTAGACACCCCATTTTTGACCGTCCTCAAGACTTGGACGTCACTGCTCGAACACTCGGTGATTACTCATGTTTGTGTTTCGTTTTGAGTTCCCGAAGGTCTCGGCTACGCGCATTGCCTCAGGATCTTTCAACTCGACTGTTCTGTGTTTGGTTTTGCACCAAACACTTGTGTTTTTGCTTCCGAGAGTAGGAAGTAGCTTGTTAACTACCCCTGACACCCACCGGCCTTGGTTTGAGGCCACCGGCCATGTTTTGAGGCTACCGGCCATTGGTGAATTATACCATTGACCGGTCGGCCATCTGTTTGGCCGGTGACCTCCTTTTTTGGCCGGTAGCACCTTTTTACCATTTTCAGGCATGGTGCATGCCAGCTGTGCCAGCTGGAATGCACCAAACCTGCCCCGGGGCATACATGTGGCTGTTTTGCCCTTTTTGTACCCTTTTGGTCAAAGCTTCTTGAGGAAGCTTGACCCTTTGCCAAAGCTTCCTCAAGAAGCTTGCCAGCTGTCCTAGCTTCCTCAGGAAGCCTTGCACCCTTAGCTTGGCTTCCCTTGTAAGCCTTGACCCTTTTGAGTAGCTTCCCTTCGAAGCTTTGGCCAATTACCTTGCCTATATAAGAGCCCCTCCTCCTCCTTTGTTAGGTTCAGCAAAAAAACCAGAGCTATACACATACATATCTGATACATATCATCCTCTCTCTCTATATCTCCCCCTCTCTCTCTCTCTTCATTTTGTGTGTGTTTGAGGGCCTAAAGTGTGTGTTTGTTCTTAGTTTTGCACACAAACACACACCATTACACCT